AACTCATCTTCTAACTCATATTCGAGTTCTTGTTGTACCTGATTATCATCCATTTCTTCTTCTTCTTCATGAATGATATAAGGACTGGAGGTAACAGTATAGATTGTGTCAATGGTTACTGTTTTGTGATTATAACAGACTGTTAGTATTCTGTTGGCAAAATCCCATTGGGCTTTGGTTTTGTCAAACCAATTAGTTCCTAATAATAAATTATTCTCAGTAGAATCAATCACTTGTAACTTCATCAGTATCCGTAAGTCCTGTATACCAATGTTTACATGATTAATCTGACCAAGAGCTCGTTCTCGGGTGCCATTGGCTGTGATTACTACTACTTTGGAGGGAACATCGATAGGGATTCCTAATTTCCTTCTTAATTTATCAGTTATGATACTAACTGCAGCTCCTGAATCTAGGACAGCTTTGATTGTATTTCCTTTAATTTGGACATAACATTTTGCAGCGGTTGTTTGTTTTTCCTCAGTTGCAACATGATTAGTTTCTTTCACAATAGGTCTTTTCAAGATTTTAGAGAAGTTTCTTTTTTGGTCTGGGTAATGTAACATTTGTCCAATAGTGGTACTAGCTTGCATGTTTAAAATATCTTTGGAAATGTCATAGTGTGACAGCTGGTCTATAACTGAAGGTTGACGTGTAATTTTAGTCTTTCTAACAGGAGTAACAGTTACTGGTTCTGGTATAGTAGTAGTGGAAGGTTCAACAACCATAAAATTATCGTCAAAATTTGGACTCTGATAGATGGTTTCTCCACCTGGGTTGGTTCTTTGTCTTTGTTGTTGTCCTCTCGTTTGGTGTATCTTATTACGGACCTGAGGTTTATTTCTAATTGATTCGTATAACTCATACTCACTGTCGTAATCATCAGTGTAATATTCATTTTCATTCTCGTTAATTTCAACCATGTTAATACCTTGACGATTGTTATTTCGTCGAGATGTTGCTCGATTGTTATTGTTATGATTGTAATTATTGTTATTATAATTATGGTTATTATTGTTATTTCTTCGGTCTGCTAAACAGTTTCTAGATATGTGACCAGGTTCATTGCAATTGAAACAACGAGGTGTATCATTGTTTCTGTTATCACTTCGGAAACAGTTGTAGTTATTATTATTATTGTTATTATAATTGTTGGGATTGTAGTTGTTTCTGGGAGGTCGATTTGGTATTCTAGGGGTTTCTTGGGCAGCGAGTGCAAAAGTAAGGGTAGCATAATTGAGAAACATTTGTTGTAATTGTTTAGTAATTACATCAAGTTTGGTTTCTATATTTTGACTAGTGAATAAATTTCTATCTTCTCTTTTTCTTGATATAGTATCTTCACACTTCAATTTTAGCTGCATTTTTTATGGTGTCAGCTAAGATATTAGTATTGTCTAATATAACCAACATAGCAATTTCCTCCTCCAAATCAAAAATATACATTCAAGTAGTATAGTCTCCTGGTAATACTTTAGCAGGGTCTACTTTAGCCAATAAATGTTTAAATCTTACGGAGTATTCATCTACTCTTTCATTTTTTTCTTTTCAAATTTTATGGATTCGTAATATCATTTATTTTTATTTTCTAGTGTTGTAAAGCATTGAAGGAAAAGAGGTTCAAAGGATCTATCGGCATTAGTATTGTTGTTCCAATAATTAATAGTGATATCATCATACCATTGTACTGTAATTCCTTTGAGATAAGTAGTAGCTATTTGTAATTTTCTATTGCTGGACCAATTGTTAGCATTGGCAGCTCTGTTAAAGTTGGCAAGCCATTCAGCAGGATCTTCAGTAACCTTTCCATAGAATAATTCTATTGGGAACACATGTGTTTCAGATTTTATGGATTGAGCAGTTTCTTTAAATCCATCAGTTACTTTTTTAAGGAGCTCTTTTAATTGTTCTCTTGTTAAAACCATATTTGACTCGATAGTACTTGAAGAAGTTAAAGGTAGTGTAGTTCCTGAAGTACCGGTAAAAAGTTGAAATGTATTTGTAAGTATTGAAATAGAAGTAGGTATTTGAGTTTTATGTTATAATCACTTATGTTTATCAATCTGCTTCTGGAAATAGTTTATGATAGAATTTCTAACTTCCTGAAATCTTCTAGGAATTTTAGAATATATTATGCTAAAAATTAAATTTGTTATAGCAGTAAGTATATTTGTACGTTTTTCTTCCCAAAGCTCTATGACTAATTGGTTAGCGTATTCAATGGTTTTACTGAAATTGAATTTGGGAGAATAGCTAGCATACCAAATTCAAAATAATTTAAAATATTCAGCAGGTTATAGAGGTGGAGTATAACAGAGACTACAATAATTTTTTTATTCAGTAACAGTACTTGAAAGGTAATGTTTTTGTTCATGTTATCTTGTTTCGTATTGATGTTTTTAAAATAATTTGATATACGTAGTCATGAACTCTTTAGTTTGGGACTTTCTAATCTCTTTTTATTTTCTT